AGAGCACTGCAGCACTCCAAAAAACCTGAGAATAATCCTTGCTCTCTAGCATCAGCAAACAACCGCTTCACTACAGTCTAAACATTGCTTCATGAGGGAAACAACTCCCGGAGAAGATTACATGAGGTACATCATAAGGTACGGTGAGGAAAATGCTGCTTTTTGTAAACCACATATTCAGGGTGAAGTTTTAAGAAGTGGTGTTTTATTGTGAGCCAAACGGGGGAATCCAACATCCTCAATCGTGACCGCAAAACCAATGAAGCCAAGACTGACTGTACAACACAACTGAGTTACTGGCAGCAACGGTAATCCCAGTAATGCTCTTACCAGTCCAGCATAATTGAACAATGAAAGATGGGTTTATGGCACATAAATTTAAGCAATCTGCACTGGTGGTTAATAAATAAAGAAGTATAGTAATCCTCTTAGGATATGACTGTCAACTTTTTGCACGCTCCCACTTTCGAATAACAATGAATAGGATTTGCACCTCATCCAGATTATTTCTAAATGGAATTATGCTCACTGTTTCACACAAGGTGATCTTAAAGACTCTCACACTTATCCCTTCAGCTTTCATCTGTCATACAGGTGTATCTGAATAGAGTTACATTTGTAATCTGTTTGTGAATGGATACATGGTTAATCAAAGAAAAATACTGCTACAGCACTGTTGCTAATGCTTGCTATCATGTCAACATAATATCTATTTTCTTCTTATTCTTACTCATGAAACTCCAGCAAAATGAATCTCTGTGTAAAATGTTCGGAATTTGTCGTATCACATTGAATAGTTGATTTACAAATGATTTACACTGAAATTTGTCATGAATGAGGCCCAGTGTTTCTATTGACCGACCAGTAGGCCTGGGTAATATATAATGAATTATTATATTATATGATCTGTGATATTCATATTCTTTAAAACTCAACAGGAAAGATACCAATAGAGTTCGGAAGTTAATTTCCCCAAATTGGTTCTTTCGAACTGTCCACTATTTTTAATCAGTAAAAAGAAAGATTAATCGATTAATTTGCATCCTAAAATTTAAAAATGTTATCAGAAGCCCAAGTGTGTCATTTTACATCCTTTAAAAGGTTTTAGTAAAATATATATGTACAGTAGGGAAATACTGATTATTACATAAATATTGTTATGCTGGTACACATCCACAGAAATTATTATTTTTTTTTGTGTATTGTCTTTACATGCCTTGAAAAGTTTTTTCTGTATTTTACTCTTGCTTTGAACATTTTGAATGCTCTTAACAATAAAGACAGTTCAAAACAATTAAACCAAATGGTTCCTCTGATTAAATAAAATAATCTACGATCCCATTTCAAAGCAAATACATAATTATTAAAATATACTCTACCATTGAAAAGTTTGGGGTTGGTAAGATGTTTTACATTTTTTTGAAATTAGTCTCTTGTTATTTGAACAAAAACAGTACAACAGTAATATTGTGAAATATTATTACAATTTAAAATAACCATTTTCTATTTGAATATTTTTTTAAATGTAATTTACTCCTGTGATGGCAAGAAACATTTCTTATTATCGATGTTGTGCTGTTTCATATTTTTGTGGAAACAGACTTTTTTCTTTGATTAATAGAAAACATCTGAAGAAGACAAATGAGGGTCAGAAGGAAAAACCCTTCTACAGTATGTAGTCTGCACATACACGTCATCATATTTTCTCTCTGTTCAATATTTTATAATAAGTGCACAGACATTGCTAAAGGCACTGCTGCAATAAACACGGACAAAGAAAGGGTATCCCCTCATAGACCCCAATGAACTTTGATATCTGTGCCAAAGATATCGCAAACCAATCTTATCTAACCTGCTTTACCACGACAGTACGGACACACTGGGTCACTGCACATTGCAGGTGACAGTGGGTTTCCTAGACACACCCTAAAAACTCTGCTATTTCCCATGAGGCTTGACGGCAGCATCTGTGGACCAGCAGCTAGAGGTGAGTGCTGACGCATACAACAGGAGAGGGGACAGTGGAGGTCAGCCAGGTCTCCCTCCCTCCCTTCCTCCGCCTATGTGCTTTTCCAGGTTTTCTAGGCAAGCTACTCATTGAAAAACAGATTGACGATATTATAAACTAGTTTCAAATGCGACAGAAACAGATGAGTATACTAACACAATGTCTTTATCAAGTTTTTAGTTTGTAAAGGCATTTGTCGATTTATTATAGCTTAGGTTAAGATTGAATTCCACTGACCTCAATCAAACTGAGTGCATTCTGGGAGACAGGATGTGACTTCATAAAGAGGATTAATATTAAGAGCAGAGCGGTTTCAGAGCTGATTGATTATTGGTCATTGACTGTGTGAATGACTGAATGAACAAATGAACAGAGTAAAGAAAAACTGTATTTTCTTATTGATTTTTTGAGGTAAAATTTTACAATAAGGTTGTGTTAACATACATAGTGAATGTATTGAATTAATTATGAATATTTTTTACAGCATTTATTAATCTTGGTTTATATATATATATAGAGAGAGAGAGAGAGAGAGAGAGAGAGAGTACATCTAAATTTTTATTTATACATTTTAAATTGTTTATATTTTATTATTTATATACTCTTTCATTAGCTCTTGTGAGCTCATAGCACATTAATGTTAACACACAACTTTTAAAAATATATGTAATGTGCTATATATTAAGAATATATAGAATATATAATATATGTAGTTTGTGTAGACAATATTTTGCGTTAATTGTGTTACCTTTAACTCTATGTAGCTGTTTGTTTCCTCATGACTGAAGACAAATGCTAAAAGTTCATGTTAGGCTTTTTCTAAAATGATACCTATGTCGCAGTCTAAAATATTTTTTTATTCCCAAAAATGGTGGCAATAAAAATCCCTGGCTGCATGCAGTGAAGGATTGACAGATATGCGTTCTCTTGATCGCACCCTGATTCATTCACAAGAATTGAAAGGGATTTACAGTGTTTATATCCTGTCAGACAGACACGATCCTCTTCCTGCGCAACACTTTATTTCCCCAACATCTGAATGTGGTCAAATCTAGCATCAAATTATATAAAGTGCTTATATAAATCTACCACATTATTTTTTTCCAGAAAGGATTACCAACCCTTTCTAAATTCAAAAACGCTTCATCATCCAATAGTATTTCTCTATCATTATGCAAAATAAATAAATAAATAAAAAACAGAAAAAGCAAATAAGCGTGGGATGTTCTTGGGCCTTGAGGTATACAGCAGGCTTCGTCAGCACTGCAGGCCGTAGAGGCTGCAGCATATCTAATAGCACTGAATCAACAACCCACCAGACATCATTCAAGCATCAGGGCTGAGAACGTGTCTGCTCTGCTGTAACAATCTGTGTTCTCCAGCTTCAAACTATTTGATCTGAAAGACTACTCAAAAATGTCACATTTTACTTATACATTGAATTTTCTCAGACAAACAGCCAGTCCAGTTGCAAACCAGAAAGTAAAATTGTAAAATCAAACAGATTCTTTTACAATCTAAGATGCATGGCAACTCATTAAGTTGCATATCGGACATCTGCAGTCCACCATCTATGAAAGACAGCAATTCCCTCCTCAATGCAAGTACGTATTACATACTAAAAAATCAAATAGATTGCTCAGTGATATCAATTGTTATACTAAGAAACATCCATTCTTTAATGAAAAAGCTGTGCCCCACCCTACGAAATAAATATGTTCAGCTAACTCATCTTTCCATTTATCAGGCCAAGGTCCCAATTGGTTCTTTCTCTCAAGAAAACAGCCTATAGGGAAAAAAATAGGTAGCCTACCCACGGTTAATCTGAAACAAGTGCATACAAATAAGAACAAGAAATGTATCATCCGCATTCGGATCCTACCTCATCTCTCCAGACGCAATAAGACAATAAAGTCATCAATATTAATGGCGTTTTCTGCCCCATTCTTCTTAGTATTTAACTTTGCTGATTTCTTTGATTGTCTATTTTTAACTACTGTATTATCTCCAAAAGAAAAAACCAACGGGTATGAACTGTTCTGCTACGGGATACGAGCTGGTCTGATCGGAGATATCTCCTGTGTCCGCAGATCTCAGTGTGAACTGACAATCGGCTGCGGCTCCGCTCAGTAAAACCAAACCCTCCTCCGCTCGGGTTGCGCAGAAGGTGGGCGTCCATTTGCTGAAGAACGGCGCCCCCTGCTGGACATCCGTGGACAGGCACCGTGGGCGCTTATGAGGAGAGAGGTTAAATGAAATCGGTGAAGAGACAATTATAAAACCTCATACTTTTCAGCTATCTAAATGTCTCTCGGTGCATACATTTAATTATTTCCATAGATTTTACAGCCACTATATACAGATACACTGCGTTACTTTTACAGCCACCTGTTTATGTTTAAATTGTGTAGTTTCAGGATTGAGCCGCTAGAGGGAAGTCAAGATAAATGTTTACACCATGTACGCACGCGCTAACGTATAAAGGCCTATGTATGAACATTAAACTAACAGATTTTATGGCTGTATAACCTAGAAAGCTAATGAGACTAACTTTTGATTGTAATTTTAATACGAGTCTGATGGATGAATGCATTTATAATATTACTGCCCTAGAAAAAGATTTTGACAAGGGGCAAGTTGAGACAATTTGGGGGCCTTTATAGCCTACCTGTTGATTGTAACTGTAAAATCAACACGATTCATGAAACACGTCATGAAACAGCAAAAACTTCAAAAAAAAACAAAAAAAACATGGCAACTTGCATCGGCCCGCTATTTATATGACACAAAAACCTTTCAGGTATTTATTACACCTCTTACCTGAATGCCTTTGTTCACTTGTTTAACTAACTGCAATATAATAATATTAGTCTGGAGTTACGAACAATTCTGAACAAGGTGTCTGAAACCAATATACAAAATATACCAGGGCTGTCCAAACTCGGTCCTGGAGGGCCGGTGTCCTGCAGAGTTTAACTCCAGCCTCCAACCCTAATCTAGACTCTTGTGACAGTGAGCTCTGTTTGTAAACGCCTTTGCGTTTGGTGACGGAAGTAGTTTTACCTTGTCATGCCCACTGAAACTACAGCGTCATTCTGAGCCCTCAGGTGGAGATGAGAGACCGCCGCGGGATTTTGGCTACTCCGTGAAACTCTGAACGGCCCATCGAGACCTTTTCAATAGGACTATTTCATCCAAACTGCCTTAAAAAAGCAGCGCCCGGATTGACTGCTCGGATCTTCAGGCGTGCGCTCTTCTTCTGTTTGGTAGCGAAACTAGTTTCCTGAAATAGCATGAGTTCTGCCGTGTATGAACATGTAAGTGTATTGTTTTTTTTTTAACAAAAAATGATCTGCACTTTAATTGAAATGGCGTATTTCCCCAGCTATGTTGTCAACTTCAATGTTCCTGATATTAAATCGGATACATTTAACCTGACCTCACGTATAGGCTAGATTCGTGTTAAAAATTGACCACACAACTTGAATAGGCTATGTGAATTTAAACCAATATCACAGAGATGATTTGTGATGTTGCATCCCAGTAGCCCTTTTTTTTAATTTATTTATTTATTTTTTTTATTAATATATTTTTTTCCCCCGCATTGACACCAGTTCGAGTCTCGCGCTCTATAGGCTATTATCTGTTCTTATAGCCTAGTGGTGGGGCTTTTGATTCATCCCAGTGACTCGTTTGAAGAAATTAACCAAAAAGATTCGACAGGTGATCCTTTCCTCAGGTTACAGGCCATCGTTAAGCCTCAAAAGTAGAGAGACTTGAATCATGAACTAGTTCAGTTCAAGAGGTGAACGAGAATGATTTGTTCATTGAAAACTTTCACGTAAGAAGATATCCTAACTCCGACGTCCTTGTTAGTGTTCAGAAACGCTACTTTAGCGTTTATTTTAGTGTCAATTTTAATGAAACAGACCGGATTAACCTTCAAACAAGTGCTTCTTGGGTAAACCAGGTAGACGTAAGTCAGATACTGTATTAACCCTGTAAACCCTGACATATGAAATCACTTTTTTCCCCAGACATTTCTTTAAGTTTGCATATGTTTGATATATTTCTGTCATATTTGATGCATCAGTCTTTTATGGTTCATGTAGTACATAAATGAATATAAATAACATTGTGTTCTTGTAAAAAAAAAAAATCCGTAAAATTTACGGTAAAAAACCGGCAGCTGTGGTTGCTGGAATTTTACCGTAAC